ATTACACAAATGACGAAATTTCAGTACTACTAATATGGTTGCTGTAAATTCCATATTGCTATCTTTCTCTCTGATCTGTCTAACTTTGTTTCTTTAAATCTAAATGTTCCTTCTTTCCATCCTAGAGAACATACACCACCTTTTCTTGATAGTAATTTTCAACATCTCCACTTGTTATATTTATTTCATCTTAATTTCAACTGCTTTTTATCACTACCCCCAGATCATCTTCCCACAATTGTTAGAAAGCAAGATAGATCACAAAGAATAAGCCCAACCAGCATTCTATCTATTCAAGAAGGATGTCTTTTCAATTAGACTACAAAAGTCAACAAGTAGCAGTCATCCAAATTTACACATTATTAGGCAATTAAAAAAAAATTAAAAAAATACTATATTCCAATATCTATTGTACAGTTCACACTTCTCCCCTGTTTTTCGAACAGGAGTCTGAGATAATCCCTTGTTTCCTGTTTAGAATTGATTTTCCGGTTTCTTCTAAAGTAATTGCTGTAAATGTACTTATGTACAAAAGTTATATTACCTACTGTCAATGTGTGTGTGTGCATGCATTTCAAAACAGTGAAATATTGTTTTCTCGTCTTATAAACTTGTACTTAGTTCTATTTCCAAACCAGTGTGGACATATAGTAACACACCATACAACCTGTTTTGTGATATTTTTATTATATTTTACTGAGGGTATCATTTAGCTTAGTCCATACTGCCAAGCATTTAGAGAAAAAAAAACTAAAAAAAAAAAAAAAACAGAAGTGCCCATGAGAAATCACAGTCAGCATTTTCATAGTCATTTATTTCAGTAAATAGCAATTTCTTATTTTTTCACAAAACAGGCCAGCACAGTCAGGTAACAATGCAGCAATAAAAATTTTAGAGTCATAGCAGGAAAAACAGACTGTCAAAGAGAAGAGATAAGTGTTTGGGTTTCATCAAAGGCTAGTTTATTTTTAAGCCATGCCAACCATGACAAGGATCTATGAGTTGTTGGACAAAGCATTTTTAATTATAAACTCCTAGTTCTTTCATATTTCATTTTTTCCAAGAAATTTGAATGGTATTTCATTAATACTATTCATATAGTAAAGGGGGGAAAAAAAGAAACAAGGCATAAGAAATACTTACCAAAATTTAATAAGTGACAATGCTTGAAGAACTCAAATAACATCACAAATATTACTTCTTTGAGCCTTAAAAATTGTTTATTAAATAAGTTCTGAGTAATTTAGCATGTCTGCTCCCAGACTTCATTCAAACTTAGACACACACACACACAATTTCTTTTTATTATTTTAAATATTATTTTTAGTACATGTTTGAAATAGATGCCCAGTTTGTTTTTTTATTATTTTAAGCAGTGTGTATTACATCTGGCAGGGTTCAAACCTACATTGCTCTTTGAAGAAGCAAACATTTAATTCATTGTGCTTTAGACAACTTGGCACAGAAAGCATCACAAGTCAGCAAAACTTTATTTAGCAAAATTTAAAACATTTTTTCAGTATTCTTGATATCCCATATGTACTCAGTTTCATATTCAAATAGAAGCAATTTCTTTCAATTTTAATGGATTTATTTTTTTTTAATCTTTTTTAAAACATTTTATGTCTTGTTTGAAATAGTCTTTATTTTTCTGTATGTCTTACCATCTTTTTTATAGAAAATGAATTAGGGTCTACAAAGTTCAGCAAACCCAATGTTCCAATAGCAATGACATGAATCATGAATTTACAAAAAGGTAATTTACTGTGCATATAGACACAAGGGTATTTGGAGGTTAGGTTTTATCTAATACTTCCCACCCTAAAATGGATCAGTTTTCACCTGATCTTAAAAAGCTTTTACCCAACATCAGCCAGTTTACAACTCAAAGTATTTTTTTATAAGCTGTAAGAACTTTGCTAGATAGGACTTAAGCAAAAGATATCTTCTAAATATACTTATGCACAATCAACAAGGATTTGTTACTTCAGCTGTTTTACATGGTTTAAAAGTCAGTTTTTATAAACACATACAAATTGAGAGATATCTGACCAATTCTCTTAACTAGTGGTAGAACACTAACTTTGGTGAACAAATAATTACAGTAGCGACAAGTTCAAATCTAAAGTACCAACTGGTATATTTCGACACACATCTAACATGGGATTTTTTTTTTTTTTAACTACTTTTTCAATAGTATTTGAAATGTTATAAGCTGGCTATCTTACAAACATTTTGAATACATTTTCAAAACTAAAACTTATTGCAAACAAAAGTTATATCACATAGCCAGCTGTTGCACTTGCGACATTGTTCTAATTGAGTGAAACAAGTTAAGTCTTTGTAACCAAATTAGATTTGCAATTGAATCTTCTGAATACTTCGTATTTGTTTGATGTAGATAAACACTTTCAGGTAAGAATTTGTGGTCTCCAGTTGTACTGTAAACTGATTTGTTAAATTTATCATTCATTCTCAATATTGACAGTCACAATATCACTAAGGTCAACGATAGACCATAGGTGTACTAAATTTGTACATCATTTGAGAAATAACAATAGGAAGGTTCAGTTTCCCAAAATCCTAAGTCAGAGGTCATAATTCCAAGGGCCAAAAATCAGTCTCACAAGTCCAATGCCAGAAAATACAGAGGTTGTAAATTAAAAAGGTAAAAATTTTCCCATCACAACACATCTACATCCATGAAGGGCTAAAAACTGTACTGCAATCCAGAGTAGCATTCTTTTATGATTGTGATTAGTTGAGACTGGTATAAAAACACAAATAATTACCATATTTCAAGGCCTACTGAAGTCGACCTATCTAAACATAGATTTTCTTTTTTGACAAATAGCATAAAGAACAAAATTGGTTGGTTGTTTAGCAACATATCAACACCTCTAGGAGTTATTTAATTGTGACATTGAGGCGTTGACCCATGGTCAACCCCAAGTCACAACGCAACACTGTGATATTTCTCCTACCAGCGTTTTGGGGTTGACTCTTAACCGCTTCCACAAACGTGTGTCCTGGTTGATTGGTGGTTGTTGCTGCCCGGCGGGATCCTTTAGTCAGGGTACCAAGTAGGATGGTCGGTCGATTTCAAATGGCTTCACACCAGATGCAACCAGTTCAACACCAGCTCCGTCGTTCTCAGCTCACTTCCAATGTATGGTTACCGAAGCAACTACTTCGATCTAAAGTCTAACATACCCACATTGTTATTTTGATCTTAAGTAGACAATATCAATCAGTCTAAACTGGAGGTAATATCACACAAGCATAAAAAAAAGAAGCAAATAAAACCCCAAGAGGTTCAAGTGTGTTGAAAGAAACAAATCAACTTTTATTTGTCTGTTATATACAGGAGTGTGTGTTTTTCTCCCAACTAGTTTCCTTGGAGAATGACACTTTTATACTTCTTAGGCAAGTTCTGGTCTTCTAAGTCAAATGGTTTAATTTTTAAGTGCTGGCTTAGCTTTGTTTGTCAGTATAACTTGCTATTGTTAGGAAAGGCAAAGCCGGAGGTCATGGAATCTCTCAGTCAGCTTCTGTGAGGCAACACTCTGGTTCCTGCTACTCTAACTGCTGAACTGAAACTTCTCAACTCACTCTACTGGCAAACTACCCAAGGGTGCTTGCTTATATGGATACCAACCAAAAAATGGAGCAGGGTTAGATGCAGCCTGGGATTTTTGGTAAATCCTGATTTCTGACAAGGAACCTCTTTGTTGTCTGGCCAGGAATATTGATTACTTCCCATTTTAGGAAAATTAATTATTCTGGGTGGGGGTCCCTTCAGCTGTGAGGAGAGGTTGCAGGATAGCTATCCTCCCAAAATCCCTCCTTCTCACAGTGGTACCTCATATGTCAATTCCTTTCAGTGGGCGTTAATAATTTCCCTGTCTTTCTCATCAAATTACCTCCACCTATCACCATTGCTACCACTCAACCAATGCCATCCCGGACGTGTGGATGTGGCTAATCTGGCCTCATTAAAATTATAAACTAGAATTTTTGTTTACAAAATTCTCGTTCTTACAAATAACACATGGCTCTGTCTCTTAAAATCTGATATCTTTGATGCTCCTGGCTACTTTGTGTCTTAACTTGTGCTTTTACAAGCAACATCAATCAATTGTGAAGGTCTGTGGGGAACCCTTGGCTTCTTGGAAAAAAAAAAAAAATCTATCTTCAAATTGGCAATTCTTTCAGGATATTTTCTCATGCCAAAATTCTATAATCAACACATGACCACTTAAAACCATATCCTTGACACTTGGTTATTGTGTCTTGCTCGACCAGTACTTTTACAACGTCAACAATCAATTGTCAAAGCCTGCCATTTTGTCCCCTTCGTGGAGTTTAGCATCTACACAAACCCCTGGCTTCTTCGAGAAAAATAAATAATGATAATTTTCTCCACCCCGTATCAGTAAATATTTTGGAATATTTTCTCATGCCAAAATTTTTATAATCAACATATGGCCTAATCACCTGGTTGACTTCCAAAATCTTGCAATTTCAAATGAGATCTTGTTCTCGGGTTTTCATTAACCAGTACTTTTACAAAAATTAATCACTTGTCAAATGGCCATTTTGTGAGTCCACTGTTTATGTCAATTCTTAGGTTTTTGAGAAAAGTAATTTTTTTTTTTTTTTTTAAAAAGTAAAAATAAAATGTCAGTGGTATCATCTTTTCCATTCTCAGTATTTTCTTGTTTAATTTTTATGCTTAATTAGTTAATCAATTACCATAACTAAATAGTGTCACATAATGTTGAAATCTAAATATTTTGCATGCTATTTTATTTGGGAGATGATAATTGTTTAGTGATACAAGTTAATTAACCCATAGCTGGGGGAGGGGAGAAGTGGATTCATATTTTTCCCAAGGGTATTTGTGCATAAGTGAATATAACAAACCCAATGGAAATTAGAACACTGCTCTCTGATCAACAATTCCTAGCCATTATCCATTACACCACCCACTCATCCCAGCTTGCAGCACCTGGTATTCACAAGCAGTCACCCATCTAGGTACTAACCATGCTTGACATTGCTTAACTTTGGTGATCGTATGAGAACCAGAGACCTGATACAAACATTAAACATTAGAGAGTTTTGAAAACGTGCCAGTAAATGATAAAGTCACAAACCATTTGCCTCCTTAAAACAAAAGTCACCTGTTGCTTAATCTGTATGTAAATTCTCCAAGAAAAATCTATATAAAATATCAGCTTCTGTTGAAATAAGGAATTTTTAAAAGAAAAACAATGTAACACTTCTGTAGTTAATATTTCCTGAACAGTAAACAAAATGGATATCAGATGCATATAAATCTAAAATGAAAAATGTTAACAGTAGCCAACAACAACCAGCAGGGCAACTAACGTAACCTTTTATTCAGTTGCTATTTTCTGAAGATTTTTTTTTAATCCTAAGGAAGTTGATGGATCTGCTAGTAAAGAATCGGGAAACAAAAAAATTGAAATAATTTCTGTAAATTAGCATTCTTCCTAAAAACCACAACATTTGTCAGAAACAAAAACATTAATTTTTTTTTTTTTTTATCATGTTTGGTGAGGGGGGGGGGCTGTTCATAATATAAATACAGTCGACTTTTTGAAGAATTATCTGTAGTTTGTTTTTATTTGCAAATGTCAAGATTGAAACTGTGCTTACAAATTGGGTGGAGGGGAGTTTCAAACTTGACATTTGTAAATAAAAACTAAGTAAGATAACTCTTTAAAAAAGTCACGAGTCAATTCGATACTCTATTATCATGAATAGGAACCCCACTTCGAAAATTATAAAAAATTAAAAAATAAAAAACAGTATCTTTTTATTCTGACAAATGCTGTGACTTAATAAAAGTCTAATGAATGCTAATCTCCAGAAATTATGCATCCCCCCCACCCCACAAAAAAATAAATAAATAAATAAAATACAATAAAATAAAAAGATTTTTTTTAGTCTGGACCACTCACCCTGAGTGGTGCCAAATTTCCCTCCACCTCTTTTCTTACTGATTGTATACCTGACAAAGGCCAAGAAATAAATCAGCTCAAATGGTTTGTGTTAATATCAAGAACACTAAAGAAAGAGTTAAATTGCTCCAAATTTGGAATTTTAATAAGTCTTATGCTACAGACAACATTAGATATGTAACAGTTTTAACTAATATATATTAATATTGTGAGAACAAATTCTTTATACCAGACTACATTTCTATTTATAGACATCAAAATATAACACGTGTGTGAGAGAAAAAAAAATTAACTCATATCACTATGGGTAAGAGATACTCCAAAGATAAGAAAATGCAATAGAATAAACATCCCAAATTCCATAAAATACTTATTCCAAAGTGAAACTTGAACTGGAGATCTTAAAAGTAAAAAAAGAAAGAAAAATTCTGATTTGACAGCCACAGTTTACAATTGCAAAGTTCCAATGGCTGCAAATAATTCCATTTTCTGTTTATTCAAAGGAAATTAAACAGATGTTGGTTATAAGGTCTATCTGGAAATGATCAAGCCTATCTAAAGAAATGGCGCTTAATCACCCTTAATGTACTCCTCTTGGGATTTCACACAAGCATCTCAGGATCTGTTCTATTTTTCAGTCTGCAAAATGACCTCTTTCAGAATTGCCATAAGCCGTTTGATTATGTTCCCCTTAATCTTGTCCATGATCTGAAATCCCCCTTTCAATAGGAAAAGCCAGAAGTCACAAGCAGACAAGCTGTACTAAAAAAAAAAATAGTACAATTTGGCTGCATTCGTAACAAACTAGCTCTGTATCTTTTCACAAGATAAAATATTTAAGCCTGCTGCTTACAAATGTGGTTTGAACAGCACCTTGTAAATAGTATTCTGACATTTAAAAATGTTAGCACTAATAGAAGAAATTATGTTTTTACTTCTGGTGAATTTAATGATATTCTTTCAAGTTTTGGTCATTTTACACTGATTGTTAAAGCAATCATGGCTTTTCCAACATTGGCTGATGAGATATTTCACTGATTCATTGAAGGCAGAAATGAGAGTGATTTAACTTTAGAAATTGCATTGTGTCCTAGCTGTAAAGGTCTGATTTATTTGTTTTTATGGTTTATCAACCTTTTGCTGGTTATTTAAAGCCAGAAAAAAATTTTTAGATTGTAAAAGATTTTTTTTTTTAAGATAATCATGATTTATTGATGCAAGTTCTACTAATTAACCCATAGGTGGTGGGAGATTAGATCGATTCACACCATTTCCCAAAGGGCATTTATACATAAATGAGTATAATGATTTCCAATTCTGAGAAGTTATCCATTACACCACTTGGTATTCCCAAGCGATCACCCATCTATGTTAGGTACTGATCAAGCTTAACATAAGTGACTGTAAAAGAACTGGTGTTTTAATACATATTTCATATAATGATATTATATGAAGAAACTTCATGGAGATTAATGAGAGAGAAAGCAAGCGAGAGAGAGAGAAAGAGAAAGACATTTTTTAAACATTAAGAATTTTAAAGAAAGAATCCTACTAAGTGGTTAACATCAAAAAACTATTAATTAGCTTGTCCAATCTTACAAGGAAAAGTCTAGGAAACAAAAAGCTCATCCTGATTTTAATTTATCCCCAACTGTCAGACATTATAGAGGAAATTATCAACTGAAAACAAATTTAATTATTGGCTAGCTATAAGGCAGAGACTACTATACCTCTCACTTTCAACATTTATTTCTTTCATTCAGATGACAATAAATGACCTCTGGTGAATGAATGACCATACTAAAAATAAGTAAAGTTTCTCCCATTGGTATTTTTTTGATCAGTGATACATCATGATGGTTATAGTTAATTTGATATCTATCATACTAAGAGGAGAACCATTAACAATTACATAAAAGTTGACATCACTTTCACCACTGCATTGTGTCAGCAATTATTACTCATATTCAGTTTTAAGGACAACAGTTTTTCCCTAAGTTATAAACATAGCAGCAGTTGATAACACAAGAAATGCAATGGATTAAGTGATGTTGCTGCAGATTCAGTTGATAGTGAATTTTTATGTAACCAAAATGATAGACCAAGATGGACTGCTTTGCTATCTACCAATAGCTGGTATGAGAAGTGGATTCATACCTTTCCCAAAATTAATAGTGCTAGGTGAATCCAAACTGTTCCACCCAGGATTTGAACCCTGGTTTGTCAATTCCATTTTCCATGTTAAACATCAAGTCACCTACACCCGCATTAATATGTACAATCTGAAAAGATAAAATATCTATAAGAGCCATTATTAAAGAAGGAAAAAGAAACAGCAAAGCTTCAGCAGAAATATTAAGAAAAGAGAAGCGTCAGTGAAGGCAGTGAAGCATAACAGCAGCAGGCAGGCAATAAGAACATTGGGTTTAAGGTTCCAAATAGGAGTAGATAGGTTTGTCTATTGTCCCATTCACACTTCTTGGTCTTTTGAACAGGAGTAGAGATCTATACCTTGTTTCCTGTTTAGGATTGGGCTACTTCAACTGTATACTTTTAACATCTTCACCTAAACTCTGAAATTTTATTTACTATTTATTTTTCTGACTCTCAACAGGAGTAAATAGGTTTGTCTACTGTCCAGTTTACACTCCTCCCTGGTATTTTGAACAGGAACAGAGGTTTATCCTCCGTTTCCTGTTTAGGATTGGATATTCAATTCCTTCTAAATTCTTCTCATTCCCTTTCACTCCTAGTAGCCCCTTGCATCTTAGTGGCATTATTGCCTTGCTTGGGGTGAAGTGAATAAAAATGTTCCACAACAGCTTAATGTATTAAAGTAATGGTTTGTGAAGTTGGTAGCATAGTTATTGTGAGTTCATTCCTCGAGCCAGATAGTACACACTTAGTGGAAACAGCATGATCAATAACTGAGCAGTACTAAAGAAAGAACAAAATGAGATACTCCAAGACATGAACAGTGGAACAAAAACAATCTACACTCAAAGATTAAATGAGTTTGGGTCAAAGTTCTATGAAGTTACCCAGATCAAAAGACACCTGATAAAAATGAAGGGCATGATCATAAAATATTATAAGTATGAATGCAAAGATACTAAGAACCAATCAGTTGGTGTGAAGTAAAATGGTTTATGTTTGATAGTTTGAATAATCTACTTTGAATAAGTCTTCTGAAGAAAGGCTAATTCAAGAAACATCTTATGAAGATGACTATGGTAAGCAAAGTGTAATAAAACAAGGTTCAAAACACACTGATTGTAATAGACACATTTTTTTTTTTTAAATATTTCAACTAAGAAATATTTATTTCTTCTTTGGTCTGTAACTATTGTCTAAGAAATAAGAGTGTTAAAATACTCTTCAAACATCCTGCTAACTGATACCAACTTTGTACTGCCCAACACTGGCCCCATTCAGCTGTTTGCTTTGGCTGACTGCAGACCATCCAAATAATCAAAGTGAATGACTGATGTGACTAGCTATAGTAAAAAAAATTCATGTGACCTGATTAGTTGAATTGCTTTCATTAGACTATGTTTAAAATCTGTGTGTTACAGTAATGGGTTTCTTGTAAAGTAAAGCCACATTGTTGTTTCAACTTCAGGAATTTTTTTATTAATAAATATAAGCAAGATTCTGAATTAAGTATGCATACCTTTAACTTGACACACACACACAAAAAAAAATTGTAAATCACAGCACAAAATTTGATAGGGGGCTAAAATTTCATTGAATTGGAAGCAAAGTTGTTCAAAGTTTGAAAATTAATTTTATATGTCAGTAATTTTTATTCACCAGACCATACCCAAGAGAGAAAAAAAATTTTTCTTAAAAGATATATTTTAGCTGGGCAAAGAATCCAACTAGGAGGCAATAAGCTAGAATACAAGAAATACACAAAAATAAATAGTACATAATTTTTCCAAGTTTATACCATTAAATTTTGCTTCAATGAACATTTCATGAATAAGTCTGTCTTTTTCTGTCTCAGCATTTAAAAGCATTTTTCTTAAAGCATTGCAGTTTCAAGAAAATTTTCAATATAAAATTAAAATAAAACTTATATTAATTCCAAGAGTCTTCAA